GCACATGACGTTTGCTCCAAACTTCAGTTGAACACCTTCAAAGTTGTTCCAATAAATGATAAGGATTTGGGTACATTACTGATCTACCCATAAAACTGTGATCATAAACCATCTAACTTAGCTCCATTTTATAAACATGTTATTTCTGTATTCCATCTAAAGCTGGGGCAGGAATGCTGGAAATACCCATAATTTTTATTTCTAGATAAACACAAAATGAACAAAATATAAAATGTTATTGCCTTTGTTAGTTGATAGGAAGCAAGTGACTATGAAATGCAAGGGTCTACTTTAGCAAGCTGTCCATACAGGGGCACCTAATTTAAAGGAAAACAACACAGGAGCGACACAACACATTTTGTGCCATAGTCGACTACTGCCACAGGGCCTGGCACCATTGTGTTGGGAGATGCACTGTCAAAAGCTTTTAAAGCAGTCCGAAGCACTTTGAGGCACAGAAGCATGGAACTAAGTACGATTTTTGTTATATTTTTTTTCTTTGTGAATCACATCCCCGTTCATTTTATTTTTTTCCTTAAATTCTTTTATTGGTACATTTTAGGTATACAACACATTTACATTTATCATTGGGTGCTTGTACCTATACCTGACTTATCTTGGTTCTTATTTTTTTCCCATTCCCTGTGCGCCCTTCATCCCCTCCACCCCTCCTTATTTACATAGACTTTGTTTCCATTTTTTTTCTTTTCTCATTTAAAACCAAACCAAACCGGAAATACTCATTGTAATATGGTGACTAAGTCTGGAGCCAGGCAGATATGGTCTTAATTTAGGCTCCACTTGTTACTAACTGCTTTAACTGTAAGTGAGTCATGTCACCTCCACTGGGCCCCAGAGTCCTCATCTGTAAAATGGGTGTGATGAGAGTATTCTTCAGGGTTGATGAAGATTCAATGAAATGGTGCATAGAAGTCTCAGGAGAGTCTGCTCTCTCATGCAGATCATCATGCAGAGAGCAACGAGATGGGTCTCCATGTGCCCCTACACGCCAGTCTGCACTCAGTGCAAGCAGGCAGGATAGCATTTTAAAATGGCTGAGATTTCTGAGACCAAGAGTAGCTGGCACCCCAAGAATAAAAGCAGCCTTGGCAATGCAATAGTAGACCAAGAGCCACATCCAATGTGAAGCAAAGTGAAACCAAAAAAGGAAAGGATAAGAAAGGAAAGCGAAAGGAGGGAGGGAGGGAGGGAGGGAAAAGCAAAAGGAACAGGTTCAATTATGGAAAGACATATAAAATCTTACAGTAGATCTGTCTATAGAAAAGACTTTTTTGTAGTTTCATTGTCAGAAATAACCATTGGCAGCTTGAAGTGACCAGAATTTTCAGCAGGCCTGAGTAGTTCTATATTTACAAAGATTTCTTCAAATGACTATGATCATTGAGTCTCAATCTAGGGGATGTCAGCACATAAACATAACTCTTCCATATCTTCCGCACTCTTCTGAGCAACCCTCTAAGCAACTCAGCAATTCTCAGGAAAATCAGTTTAATATGTATTCTTCATTCCCTGAGTTCCCTGTCAGTTTATATTTTTCCTGCTAATGTAATCCAACTTAAAGTCCAAAATGTTTGCTCAGAATCTCTACCCCTATCTTCTGTGCCTAATTGTAAATCTTTTTGGTGTCTAATATGCAACCTTTAATACATCTTAGATTTGACTCACTCTTCTCGTACTAGAGCATTAGAGTTTTTCCCACCCATCCATCCACGCATTAACACTGATTGAGGGATAAAAGTGCTGTGCTAGGCATCTGGGGTACACAGATGATCCAGTCCCTATTCTTGAGTAGCTTAGAGTCTTTTACAAAACAAGCATGCAAACATTTTGGTCCTGGTGTAAATCCTGCAACAGGGCAAGGACCAGTATTACAGGGAGCACAAAAGAAATGAGGAGATGTATTAGTTCAAGGGAGTGATGACAAATGCCCAAACTAGGCAACAGCCATGAGGATGAAGAGGAGCAGTTAAGGGAATACAGTAGTTAAAATGATAAGCTCAATGACTAGGCTTATAAAGCACTGGTGTGTAAGTTTATAAACACTTGAGGAAGAGGATGGGATGAAGAATAAAGCCTTTGTTTCTGGCTAGGGCAACTAAATTACTACAGTATTTTTTACTGGCATGGGAAACCCTGGAGAAACAGATTTGGAACTGCAGATGAGGAGTCCAGTTTTGGGACAAGTTGGGTTAGAAGTGATGCGGGACATCCAGGCTGAGATGTTCCAGCAGGTAGCTGCATGCATGGGTCCAGAGCTTGGGAGAAAGGTCACACTGGAAAAAACTGACATGGAGTCATCTGCATTTTGATAATTGAAGTTATAGGTGTAGACAAGGTTTCCTAGAAAGAGGCTATAGAACGGAAGAGAAAAAGAGTGTCAAGGACTGGCAAAGGAGGCAGGGTCAGCAATGAAGACAGAGGGGGTGGTAGAAAGGTTGAATATAAGCCAAGAAAGTGTGGGGCGATGAAAACCAAGGAAGAGGCTATCTACCAGAAGGTAGGGTCAGATGCTGCACGCACACAGGCCAGGACTCATCAATTAAGAGCTCATTTGTGACCTCACCAGGGGAGATGGCTGGGGTAGAATCCTTAGTTTTTCAGGTGCCAAGTGCAGAGGAGTAAATGTGGTAGAAAGAGCATGGATCCAAGAGGCAGACAGACCAGGATGCGATCAAAATATACAGTGAATGTTTAAAAAATTAAGTAAAAGACATATTGGCCTCCAAATACTCCCTGCTTCAAGGACAATTATCTCATGGGCAGATGACATTCACTCCCTACTTTGCAGGTGCAATACATACCAGGAAACAGAAGTTTCCTTGAGTGCAAAAAATAGGGCCAGATTAGGGAAGCTGATGAGGATGGACTAGCTAATAATTCCGGCCGCAATTTATACATTTTCTATACTCCCACCATTTGCAAAGGAACTGTATGCCAAAGGGCTATCCCCACTCTCATGTTCACTGCAGAATTATTCACAATAGTTCAAAGACTGGGTTAACCTAACCATCCACCAGGGATGAACAGACAAAGAAAATGTGGCATATCTACACAATGAGCTACTATTCAGTCTTTTTTTTTTTTTACTATTCAGTCTTTAAAAAGAAGGAAATTCTGTCATTTGCAACAGTGTGGATAAGATTTGAGGACATTATGCTATGCCAAACAAACTAGGAATAGAAAGACAAATACTTAATGGACTCTGTGTGTGATTTTAAAAAGTCAAACTTATAGAAGGAGAGAGTAGAATGGTGCTTACCAGAATCTGGGGTGGAGTAAGGAAATAGAGAGATGATCAAAGTGTCCAAAGATTCTGTTAGACAGGAGGACTACGTTTGTGAGGTAGACCTATTACACGACATGGTAACTATAGCTAATAATTAATTTATTGGCTATTTCAACACAGATTTTAAATGTCTTCACCACAGAGGTATGGTGAATATTTGAGGTGAAGGATACTATAATTAGCCTAACTTGATCACACCCCAATGTATAAATGTACTGAAACTTCACACCACACCCCATAAATACATACTGTAATTACGAGTCAAGTAATACAAAAGGCAGCTTTTAAAAAATTAAAAAGAAATCTTTCCTCACACCAGCTACCAAAAAAGGAAACAAGACTTATTTTATAAAGCACTGTTTATTCTTATTCATTGAAAATGTCAATTTTAAAAGTTTTTAAAATAAAAACAAGTTAGAAAATTTAGGCTTGTGTAAGAAGGGATATGACAGAGAAGAAACTGAAAGGCCTCTAAGGGCAGCAATTTAATTACAGAGTAACAGGAACCCATTTACAGAGTATTGTAAACAACACAACTATGAGACACTGCTCTCGGATTAACATGGCTTCATTTCCTTTGAATTACTGTTTAGTGTGTAAGCGCGGACAGCACTCTGCAGAAGCTTCATTATCCAGAGTACCGAGGGCCTCTCATCAGGAAGGCCCAGTCTCCAAAACATGCATATGTACACATTACTTTAAAATAAAGATTTTTCAATATTTTAAGCGGTCAACTAAAGTATTTTGTAATCACAGAAGTGTTTCCTATAGATAGAGTATGCACATCTATTGTAAGCCATTGACTAATCACAGACAGGGCAGATGTGAACATCTAGGTAATTACTGTTGCTGTTTTTAATCTTTAGATGCAAGATGTCATAGCTGAACTCCTGTATTTAAAAACAGAATGACACCCATTCCTAGAAATCTTCATTCTTGAGCTTCCAGGAATGGCTGAGTGTTATTGGCTGAAGCTGCACTGCAGAAGAGTCCACTGTCGTCTGTGGACGCTGTGGTTTCTACTGTTCACCAAGCAAACAACAGCCCTGTACCATAAATCTAGGGAACCTTGAGACCTTCAGTACCAGAGAGAAAAAAGGCTCCTTGGCAAGCTGCAGGTCTCAAGTTTCAAGTTTGGTTTCTTAACAACATGTGCAAAACCAACACTTGCGGGTACCTATCAAACATATTTGGAGGACCACTTGCATCAGCCTCTTGGCCTGTTGCCTCTCTTTGTAATAATCTGCCCAGTCCAGTCAAATGCCCTCTGTCTTCAGGGGAGGTGGAGTGGGGTGCACTGCTCTATTCCAGAGCCCTGGGGCGACTTTGAGTTGTGCTAAATTTGGATGTCCACTGTTGGGTGACTCTCTTCTATACCTGCTTCCTCAGTTCTAACTTCTGGGATATTTACAAAGCTTATGCTTTGGTTCATTAAGCAACTTATATAAAAGATTTCCAAGTAATCAGCTTAGTAACCAGCACAGCTACTAGTGGAGCCCCTTCTTTCTGGTTATGCAAACTGGACCAACAGCATGTTTCTGCACACAATGCTTAGAGTCCTATTCAAAAGGGGCCGATGATTATTACAGCTTCTCATGGTGCACAGTATCTTCTCAATGCAGACTGTCTTGTAGGATGAAAGGTCACAGTTTGAATATGCAATGTAAAGTTAACTACTCACAGTCTAACTACATTTTTTAAAAAATAAGCACAACACATTAATACCTTTTTACACACCACTTGGTATGCTTGTTTGAAAGCACTGGGGAATAGAAGACTTACACACCAGGCAGAAAGCTAGGGAAGGAGACCTATCATGCACTGGGAAGAGCTGGTCAACTCTACTGCTGTAAGGAGGATTGCCCAATGCCAATGGGTTTGGTGTTGGCATGAATGACCACAACTTCTGTGCCACCGAGTTAAACGTACACCAGAATAGAAGGAATACAACTACTACAGTTTTCTTGGTCTTAGCGACAATATAAGGCAATAAGAAAAAAAAAAGTGTGATTGAAGGGTGGCATGTCACAGACTAGGGAAGGGCAGCTAGACTATTGGGCAATATGTTAGTCTTTTGCCTTCTCTGGTTAAAACTCAGGAAGCTTTACCTTCAGTAAATTAAGTAGCGAGGGATGCTGTACAGGAAAGTGTTCAAGGGAAAGTCAGGTTCATATCTAATATGCCATGGCCCACTGCCCTGAGATAGCAGCCAGGCCACCAAGTGTGACCCAATGGTAACAGCTATTGCAGAGGCACTGTCAAATGAAGGCCATCTGAAGAGCACTGAAGTCATCTGCCTGTGTTAGCTTTCCTTTTCTCATTGAATGGCGAATACTCTGAGGCCATGACTACCACCACCTCCTGCTTTTTCCCCTGTTGAAAAAATAAGCAACTAACCCATAACTAAAAAACAACAAATACCCAAGTAAACACATACACATTGTGGGGGGGGTGGGGGAGAGAGAGAGAGAGAGAGTCAAACACAAAACAAAAGCCAAACAAGTGAGAACTGAATCAAGTCATCCAGCCAGACATTTAAAGACACGCTGAAGGCACACTCTGCCCAGCTGCATAGTGGTGCTTATGGAAGAATCGAGGTCTTGCTACTGGATTCAGCTCGAATGCACTCATCTGTTTGCTTCAAAAGCCTTCGGACCAGCTTTTCCAGGTCCCTTCTTGACTTCAATTCTTCTTCCAAGCATTGCTTCATTCTTTTATTCTCCTGTGGTGGGAAAGACTCATTGGTTCCCGAGTAGACTGTACCTGTCCCAGGGCTCCTGCTGTTGTCCTCGAGCCATCCTTCACCTCTGACTACACTTTCCTTGCTTGAGCTCCACATCCTCAGCTTCTAAGACAAGGGAGCCCTTGGTGCTTCCTACCTCTCTCTGCCTAACCATTCACATTCTTCCTCCTGACAACCCAAGCATTCTCTGGGGTTGGCTGCCTGGTCCCCTTTTTCTTTCTTTCCTTTCCTTTTTTCCCTTTCTTCTTTCTTTTTTTCTTTCTTTCTTTCTTTTTTCACTTAGTGTCCCTTGTCTTTCAACCCAAGTGTCTACTAAGGGACCTCCCAAATATCTCTGATACTGACCTCATCTCCTAAGCATTAGACCCATAATCCCAAATTCCAGCTTGGTATTTCAAGCTGAGAGGTTACAAGTACCTTATATTAATTATGTCCTAAAGTGAACTCCTCAACTTTCCCCCAAACCTGCAAACTCTTTCTGTACTTTCTGATCTCCATGAGAGGCACCACAGTGTCAAACTAGATGCTCTAGGGGGAAAGCCTCATCTTTAACCCTTGTACTTTCTTAATCCCACCATCATGCCATAGTAACCCATATGTCCGAACTTCTCACTGTGGCTTCCTTCAGAGTCGCCCTTCGCCTTCACTGCCTCATTAACCTGCCTCAGTGCAGGACCTCATCATGCCTCGTCCTAGTTTTGCAACAATCTCCTGAGTGGTTTTCTTGTACCTGCTTTCTCCTTTCCTGCCCGCTCTCCCCCTTGTCAGCAGGAGCACCAGACCACATCTCCCGAGGGGTCCACAAACTGTGATTTATAGTTCTATGGTTACTTACACACCCTTGATCGACTTGCCTTTTCTTGGGTTCTCCTTTTAGACGTCAGGGAACGGAAAGTTATAACTAAGTTTGAGACCTATTGTAAACTGCCAAGTAGGAATATAAACAAGCCTCAGAAATTGAAACCTAAGGTCATGTGGTAAAATCAATAAAACCGACTTTGATGATACAAGGAAAATAAAAATCCCCACCACCACCTCAGTCTTGGACATTTCCTGACAGCATCTACCAGTGGGTGGCAAGGAAGACAGAGTGTTTCTTTATCTGAGAAAATGACTTTTATATTTTATTACCTGCTTCAGTTCCTTGACTTCATCCTTCAAGGCATAAACAGTATCGACAAGGCTCCTAGAACAGGAAGAGAAAGTCCAGAGATGAATGATTGTCACTGAAGTATTAAGTAATACTTAGCTCTATAAAAAAACAGGTCCTGGAAGCAATGGACTTCCTAGCAGTTCTAGTGCCGCATTATGGCGCCTCTCCTATACATCCTTCCTCCTTCCCTAATCACTTCCAGGTCCTATGACCAAAAAACAAGAGACCAGGCCCATAATAAAGGTTTTCTTTTTTGACCTGGAGGTATAATTGGCAAATAAAAATTGTATATATTTATGGTATATATAATGATGCTTTGATATATGTTTACACTGTGAAATGATGACCAAATCTAGCTAATTAACCCACACATCACCTGACAGTCACCATTTTTATGTGTGTCCCCAGTGAGAAGACTTACGACCTACTATCTTAGGAAATTCCATGTATACAAGATAGTATTATTAACTGTAGTCACCATGTTGTATTTAGGTCTCCCCAAAACTTATTCCATCTTGTGGAACTGAACTTTGCACCCTTTGACCAACATCTCCTCATTTCCTCTACCCCTTCCTAGTGTCCGGCAACCATAACCCTACTTTCTGCTTCTATAAGGTGAACTGTGTAAGATTCCTGTCCTGAGGTTTTGATTTCTGTAGCTTTAGCATTCCTGTAGCATTTCCATAGCATTCCTGCACTATGGCACTGCCCTTCTTACTAATGTGACCCTTCATGACCCTACGTGACTCAAAGTTAGGGCTTTCCTTCTGAAAGATCCCACAGATTGCCGCCCCTTAAAAGAGGATGAAGTGCCCTGACACAGTTGTGGAACAGTCTTTCTTCTCTACCCCTTTCCCTGGACAAGGAGTTTACAGATTCTGCACTTACTAGGTTTTCTAACCTTGGGGAACCAGTTTCTTCTCATCCTCTCTTGGTCTTAGTTTCTTCACACACAAAATGGGGTAATGCCACAGTCTTTAAAACCTTCTCAAGGTTGTGAAGGTTAACATATCTATAATAATAATAATTAGTATACCCGTCCTTATTCATTGCATGTTAGACTTTACACTTATTATATCTGATCACACAACAACTCTGAAAGAATTACTGTTATTCCCATTTACCAACGAAGGAAACAGACAGAGAGGGGTGCAGGGACTTGCCCTGGTCACACAGATAATGAGTAGCAGAATCGGGAGTTGAACCCAGCCTGCTCTCTCTGGCCCAGGTGCTTTACCATTTGGCAGTATCACTTCACACGCCAGATATAAAAGTACAATGGCGATGCCAAGCCCCTTCGAAATGTGCCACCCTATGCAAATTCAGGCCTGACTTCAGAAATGACTCACGTTTAGCCAAATAAATTATTTGGCTACTTTGTGTTGATTTCATGAGTGGTAAAGTATTAACCTGATTTCCTGCCTTTAGGTCACACTCACTACTGTGAAAGGAGGGTCAGAGATGTACAGGGTTTTCCCTGAACTTCAGTTCCCTCATCTGTAAAAGGGGTGAGAGTTGCACTACTCTCACTGGATTGCTGCAAGATTTTTAAATGAGGCAACCATGTGAGAGTCCAGCCCCTGACTCAATCCTGGCATCCCTCTGGCCAGGGAAACAGGTGCTCCGCTCCTCACTCCCAACCCATCAGAGCACTGGATTCACAGGGCTCTGAATAGTTATAGGAGACCTGGCTGGCCAGGTAGCAGCCAGCACGGGGAGCAGTCTAGAAGCTTCTGGCCATGTGCCTCTCCTTCCCTTCCTCCTCCCCTGTGTTAGGGAGGCAGCACTCCCAAGGCACCATGTCTCTGGAGGCCCTGCCAGCCTTTTTATGTAGTCCCTGACAAAGCAAGAAAAGTGTTGCCTACTAAACTCACTTTTCCTCGATGATAGTCTGGCCGTTGCTTCTAGTTTCTTCAATGATGAGTTTCTCTTCCTCGGGGAGTAAGACTTGTGGGACAGAATCTTTCCGAGCACCTACAAATGAGGGTTGCAAGAAGAGGACCATGGAGAGTTACTACTAAAGATTATCGATAGGTATTCGTTCCTTTCCACCATTGTGATAGCACAGTCTTTGTTCGTAGCGTGCTGCTACATTGCACACAGAAGGCAGACAATCCAACAGATACTGACTAGATCTTCCTTACAGGAGAAAATCTAAGTGGCCAAATGCATTATCTAATCCCTGGGGAGGTGTGTTTTGCATTCAGAGAAATCTGTGAAACACCTGTAACACATGCCCTCAACCAAGACCCCTGAACTTTCCTCCAGAGCAAAAGGCTGACCAGTGACCACTCGGTCCCTGAAAATCTCCAAAGAACAACGTGCCACGTTCCATGCTATGGTGCTCTGTGATTGTAGTAAAGACCAGTTTGACATTAGCACTGCTGGGGCCACAATATGCTCGAAGGGCTTCGGCAGCAGCATTCTGCTCCTCTGTCTCTTCACAGTCCTATGGGGGAAAGGAGGTCACTTGGGACTTTGGATCAAGAGCCAGTGTCCTCACTGCTCGCTATTCAGACTGACTCCAGGCTCTTGGACAGAGGAAATGGCAGAACAGACACCAGGCCTGACAAAACGGTTGTCCTGAACCTCCAACTTCCTGCTCACTCCCGATCCTTCCTCTCAGAACACAAATGCTTCAGCTCTGGTCTCCCTGAGTCACTGGCTTCATCTCTTCTAGGCCAAGCTCTTTCAGTGGTGTGTACACTCATTGCCTTCACCGACTGCTCCCCCCTTTCCTCAGGTGAGATGTGTCTCCATTGTCCCCAAGAACTAGCACACCATCCATGCTTAATCAACGTACAGAAGACTGACTGACTAAATGCAGCAAGAGCCAAGAGCATTCAGTTCTGGGGAAACAGGTCTTCCAGCTGGAGAGGGAGAGAGGAACACTGGGTGCTAAAAGGCCTGCCATGTGCCAAGTATGACTCAAGACTTCTCCCAGGTGGGAAAGGGAGGGGAGAGGCAGAATGTGCCTCTTCAGGCCAGAACACATGCCTGACCTTTGTCTCTGAGTAGATGGGTGGAGTCAATTGATGTGAAAAGAAATGGTGGGTGGGGAGAGGGCTGAGGTTAGCTTTGCATGGGGGATGTTACTTCTAGGGTCCCTTTGTCCCCACTCCTATCCTAGTTTTCATGATGAAACTCACCCTCGCTTTCCTTTCCTAACTCCTTGAAACTTGGTCTCTGAACTTGGCATGTCTGAAAGCACAGCCAGGTTTTATCTGTGAAGCAGAAAGTGTCCCCTCTTCACGGACAAATGTATTGACTTTCACAGTGAATGCCTTCCACATGAGAGACTTAGAGATGTGCTACTTTGAAAGAATATGTCAAAGAAGGCCACCTGGGAAGTCCTCTCTCATGCCATGTGACTGGCCAGGGGCAGTCCAAAGTGGAACATTATGGGGCATTCATTTTTATGTAGATGTGAAGACCTCACCTAAATTATCCTGAATATCTATGAGAATGAAAGACAAAAGATGTAATTCATGTGACCTAACTTTTAAAAAGTACAAGGGTGCACCAGAAAATATTATATCTGGCTTTCAGTTTATAACCTGAAAGTTGTTCAGGGTAATACCATCACCAGGTTGCTCCCTGATAGATTTTGTACATTTTGAACAGCCCCTGCTGTACAGCTACATTTCCAGAGTTTTAGGGCAACTATGAAACTTGTGTCTGGTGAGGCGTTGTTTGCTTAAATATGCAGCTGATCAAAGATAATAATTTTAACTTCCTTTCCAAATCTGCCTATAAGATGAGATTAGCATCAGTTCACAGACACAGGAACTCTCTGGGTTCTTTAATTCCTAACTAGTGCTGCTGAAGGTATCTATGTACTTTAAATGACTTAAAAATTTTTTTTCATTTGTATCACCTCCAATTTTTCCCCTCTTGCATTTCTCTCTCTCTCTCTCTCTCTCTCTCTCTCTCTCTCTCTCTCTCTCTCTCTCAAAAACAACAGTGGGTAAACAAACCTCGCGGTAGCCAAACCACCTTATCTGAAAGATGCAGTCCTGCGCTGCTCCCCTGCACCAAGTCACCTGCTCTCCACACCCTCCACCCCAAACTGCACTGTTTTTTTGCTTTTTTAAGAGGCAGTGAGCAGCAAAGAAGAAACACCATTCATTTCAGAGAGTACTCAGGGAGCTAGATCTTTTGCAAATGGGAAGGGGAAAGAGAGAAGGGGAATAAGAAGTAAAAAGAATGAAGATGTGTGGTGTACATGTGCCAACTCCCCATGATGAATGTAACCCTTATGCACTGCAAACATGTACCAATAAAATTTTGTTAAGTGAGAGAAAGTACTTTGGGGGAACCCACTTGAGCCATTACCTTGTTGAAAATTGGCGCTGGTGCAGTAGGCTTCAATCACCTTAAGAATTTGAGCATCCTCTTCCAGAGCAGCCGTACCTGTGGAGTTGAATTCACAATGACACAGCACACTGCACTGCAAGGGCTGGCTTTTCTGACCAGTATGTTTCTGAATGGCAGGAGAACGCTATCCAGCCCTCCTGAAGAAGAGTGGCAGCAACCCCACAGAGTCTGGGCAGCACTGAGGAATCTGCTCCTAAAGCTCAGGGCTCTCAATGTGCATGGGCGGCTCCTCTCACTCATCTTTTAGAGGCCTAAATCACAGCACTGGGCTTGGTGCTGACCTCAGCTGTCACCCAATACTTTCCTCAGCTCTAAATTTCAATATTCTCATTCTCTAGGAAGCTTTCTTCATTAACACCACCCATCTTTTCAACCAGCCAGCTCAGGCACTGAATGTCCTTCACCCCTCCTTCCCTCCCCAGCTCCTTCGTGAAATGCCCAGATGGCAGCACCCTGTTAGAAGGCTGATGTGCCCACTCAAATATGGGGTGGGGAAGGCTCATGCAGAAGCTGGAGTCCAGCAAAGATTGATCTAAATTAGATTTTAAACTGATACAGTCCTGCCACATCTTTGTAAGATATCACTTCCTCCTTCACATGTGTCCCAGGCACACTGTTCATGGCCTTAGAGGCACCTAGGTATATACTGATTGGCTGGCTGACTTTCCAATTTGACTCAAAATAAAGCCTTGTTTCTGGATACCAACAGGCTAATTCCCTTGGCTAACTAAGAATGTCACTCAGCATGAGACTTCTGTAGGATTTCAGTCTTCATGTTTATTTAGTCTATCTCTGTACAGGAAAATATCTCAAGCATCAGAAACTGAGGGAAAAATGTGTCCACAGCAAGTGGGCCTTTCTAGTGGAGTGCAACGTTCTATATCATGAAAATGGCACAGATGCTATCTGCCTAAGATGACAGGAAGTATAGCGGGAATCAGCTTACTGAAGATTCATAGAGGTGACCAAACCTTTCCATGCATTTTTATAACAGATGATGCTGAGAACAAATTGCTCTAATCATTTGCTTCCAAAATATTCTCATTTTAGTTCATCCATAAATAACTTTCAGAAAGTACAAACACATACTTTTCCTGATCACGTATTCCTCTTCTGATGGTTTTCTCTCAGTCTTTCTTTTGTGAAGAAACTTCTTCATTGTTTTGGGGCTTTTACTGGACTCCTATAAGGATAAAGGTTTCTTAATAAATTACAATTCTCCCCCAAGAACAAATCAAAATAGAGCAAATGAAATTAAACAGAATGCTTCTCAGCCCGACAGTCTAAGGAGTGCATCAAAATTTAACAGTATACATAATATAAACGACTCTGACAAACTCTACAAGGTTAAATAAAACAGAAGCAATGACACCTTCTGCTTAAGTGCCATGGGGATGTGAATAAGAAGAGAGTGTGTCTATTGAACACTAGGCAGATTCTCTAGGAGGCCAAAGGCCTTTAGGGGATCATCTGCAGGGAAAGTAATGCATGTTAACTCTTGAAATGCAAGAGTATTCCTAACTGGGTTGGTGTTTCTTACCAACATGGTTTTAAGGGAATTAAGGAACAACTGTTACCACTAATGTTTATCACTTTTCTAAGAGCTTCAAAACTATTTCAATGAGTTTTCCTAGGCAACAATCCCATGCAGAACAATATAATTTTCATTTATCAAATGGAAAAATTAAGGAAGAGAGACTAAGTAATTTTCTTAAAGTCTGAGAGCAGAGCCAAATGAAGGATTTCCTGATAAATATTTTGGTGTCAGGAGTAACATATCTACAGCCAAGTTTAACTATATATGTATAAAGTCATATTTAATTAGTAGATAACAGAGGTGGGAATTGCTGATTTTCTTTTGTCATATGAAAAAAGTTGAAAAGAAATGCTTCTTGTCAATATCCAAGTGAACAGATTAGAATCTTACACTTAGGGGGAAAACCCTCATGATTATTTTATCCTAATCTTCCATGATGCACAGATAATAATTACTACCTTAAAATATATGAAACAAAGACTTTCTCTTATTTAGCCACAGTGATCTACTTAGACTGGAAAACAGATATGAGAAACTCATATGTGACAAAAAGAACAGGACAAAAACTGCATTTAAAAAAACAGGAAAGTGGGTACTTTTAAGGCATTACATATAAGATGACATCTTTGTATGTATCTCACATAAGCCTACTTTTTGAAGAAAGTACTTACATGTCAGAATTGCATCTTCATATTTTAGCCATCAATTATAACAAAGGACAATACAAGCATGAGGGAAAGCTTCATTCATCAAAGGTTACAGCACAACATTATGATGTCACTGTAAGCCAAAGATATTGTTCTACCCTTACCTTTAAGATATAAGACATCCTCTAAAATGAATATGTAAAGAAAGAGAAGATAAGCGTGAGAGGTCGATGGTTATAATGATCAAATCCATTTATCAATAATTCTAAAACAACATTTGAAATGTTAGTGTTATCATAAATTACACAGAGAGAATATCATCACATTTCCCACATTAGTTTCAGATGCAATATCATCATGCAAAAGTCCAAAGAATACAGTTCTGTGCAGAACAATAAATGCTGAAAATAACTGAAATACACACTACATAGTAAGAATATATTAATAATTCTCTTCCCCCAGCAGAAACAAAGTGATCATGCCTTAGTTTTAATAGATTAGTTATGTGAGGGATGAAGTCAACTTTACCCTTCAAAGCTCACCTTAATTTGAATTTAGTAACTGACAATTACAAAATATCCATAATCAAAAAGGAGACTTAGATAACTATGAAAGGCGCTCCTACTTTAAGTAATCAAAGAAGAAATTGGATGATTGAAGGAATTGCAGATCAATTTCCAAAGCAAATCTTAGGACAGTTTCCTGGCCAAATTCGGAATACAGGTACACAATAAAGATTCAGCTCAAGCACTATGTCTCCTATCATGCCAAGTTGAAAAAGGTCAAAAAAATCCTCTAGTGTCCAGATATTACTCTATTTTTCTTCACTAAGAGCTGTAGGCAACAATTAATTGAAGCGGGAACATGGTGGTTTAAATTGAAACACACTCAAAATCGAGCTACATCTGCATCATTCAGTGAAACACACATTTGATATAGAATGTGTATAAGCTGCCTTTGCATCATAATTCTAAGGCTCATCTTATAACTGTCACAAACTCATTCTTCACTCAACAAACCCTATTTAAAGAACAGTTATTAACAAATGAGCATCTTTTCTGAAATCTGAAACAATTAGGAACAGGTCCGAGGAGGAAAACTGAGTGGATGAAAAAGGTAACATTCTACACAGTTATGGAAGCTAGTGACTCCATTTCTTGACTTCAACTTTGAGGAAAAAAAAAAAAACACAACAGCCTCGAAATCCCCACACTACCCAAATATCAGCTGCCCTCTAAAGTTGGTGCTGAAAAGCTTCTCTTTAAGAGGATATTCCTTTCATTAACTTATTTTCCCTTTCCTACTACAGCAAATACCACTTTCACAGTTTGGACTCAGCACTTGGTCCCATAGCACTTTATTGATTTGGTTTAATAGATCAAAATGCTCCAAAACGCAGAACTGGGTCTATTTAGTTGGAAATTCAACTCCAAATGAAGTAGCTCTGGTTTAAGGGGTGTGTGTGTGGTTAATTAATTTAAGAATGATCAGAATCCGGTAAGGTAAAGCAGAGATGCTTCAAGAGGAGGCTAGGGAAACTCAGGCAGTGTACATAAACCCTGTAGATATTTGACAAATATTTGTAGACGGACAAGGAGAAATGGAAATGTAGGAGACAAAAATATCACTGAGTCTAGCAATTCAAGATTGACTGACAACTATCATCTATCATAAATTCTAGCACATTTTCACAGGACGATTTGCAATAAACTACCCAATTGGCTTGTCAGAAGCATGTTATACCATATGAAGCAAAATTACCTCTTTATAACCTAGTGCTGCTGATGGTCTAAGTGGAGGTGCAGGTCGTAGACAACTTAAACTCCACGGTTTTATAATTTGAGGAGGCTCCAAGGGTCCTCGGGGCTGTCCGGTAGAGCTAAAAGACTGGGAAAATGTCTGATGAGATCTTGGCAATCTGCCATCTGAACCCGACCTTGCGCCACACCGGCAGAGGACAACAATAGCATCATTGGATCAACAAAGCCAGCCATAGAAAGGGAAAGATGGAAAAACGAGTTGCCAGTTTGAGGACTGGCACTTCCCACGCAAGATGAGAACATCGTTAAGGAAAGGCACCGAAACTGATTCAACATTCCTTGACACTTGTTCTCATTGTCTCCACCCCTCTCCCACCCTCTCTCTCCTTCAATTTCATTAAAGTCAGACTTTTTTCTCCTCTGTAGCGGAGGAAAGTGGAGTAATAGGTAACACTTGAGTTCAGCGATGTGTTTGGCACTCTACTAGGTGCGTAAATAGGATATTTCATCAGAACAGCCTACAACATAGACTCGGCACAGTGACATAACTCACTAGTAATTGGCAAAGACAAGATACGAACCCAGACTGATGCCAAAGCCCATATCCTACCACAACATACAGCACTCAAAACAGGGATTTGGGCATCACAGGTTTGAGTGTTAGACAGCACGGCACATCTTCCATGTCACCCAACAAGTACAGTAAAATCTCATCAATTCAAATTGCCTGAGTTCTAAGTCAGTCATAACTCGGAAGCAGGCAGGACTACAGGTTCACAACTGGAAGAAGTTACTAAGCAAATGCGATGGCATGAGTGAGGTTACATGGAGATGTTTAGGTACTTAGGGAAGTAAGCTATTTGTTTGGATAGCACATTATTAATATGAGAATAACCGCTGCTAAGTAAGTCTTATTTACCACTGAAACATTTAGCAGGACTTCTGGTTAGAGACACTTGGCTAGCAGTTAGTTGGAATATATGAATACTGTCAAACAAAATTGGACACTTCTAAGTCACACTTTATTAATCTGGACAAGCCTCAGAATGAGAAATTAGAATTAGTGAGGTTTAACTGTACTTCAAAATCTACAAATACAGACTCCCTAGAGACAAAGGGCAAGCTCGCTGCTTCTTGTAAGATTTAGCAGGCAAGATCTGACAAAATCCCTGGTCAGAACAAAAGGTCTACTTACGGAATGAGCACTACACGATGATGATGATGTTTTGGATAATGAACTGCAAGACGCAGGTCCCCTGGTCAGTCTGCTCAGCTGCTCCAACCATTCCTGGAAGTCCTGGTTGTTATTGCAATGGACCACAACTCTCTCTACTATGTTACCTGTGCCAGTGGTTACAAATATTTGAAAAAACACAAGAAGAACCTTGAGCTTGTCTCATTCATAAGCACACTTCACATAAGTAGGATTTGGGTGTCTATTTTCAGGGGTCTTCATACCTAAGGGATAGCCCTTTCAAACTTCTGTATTAGGAACAGATATGCTGTGATAATAAAGCAAATAAATATTCATGTCTGATTTATAAAAATAAACATCCTTGATTTCTACTGTTTACAGACTCTCAGAAATAGTTTTAAAAACCTCACCATAAAATGACGTACAATCTAAAAGTGTAAGCACATAGTGCATCTACCTCATAGTCTAAAATGGGAATATTGTTCTAGTTCTTCCAATATCAAAGTTGAAAAAAGATCCAACTAAGACTGGTTGCAATCTCTGGGAAAATGCCTAACCTTAGGCTATTTATTGTGAAAGAAGGGTACCAGTAAGGCCAGGGCCCATGAACACAGTCTTAACCGCAGTGCTAAATGAGTGCAAAAAGTACTGCCATTACATGGAAATCATACTGGCCTTAAAAAGAGCTAAAAGGCCAAACTATCAAGGAGCATTATCAAGACCTGACATTTTGTTCAATTTGTGAAGAAAGCCCCATGGCTTTTCAACACTTTTTAGGATGGAACCAAATCTCACTAATTCATAGGCTGATGTTAAGATCTCTGATAGAAGACCGCATCTTTGGCTCCTCTGCCGCCAGGGAATAGATGACAGAGGCAAAGAAAATTACATTTACATCAATCCATTTTGTTATTCCTTCACGCTCACAAGTAGCTCTCACGCAAGAGAAGATTGCAACTAATGGCAAAGCGGAGGCTTTTAAACAACCAGAAAACTTCTCTGTTCTAGCACCATATCCTAGTTATCCCAGGAAATGGAATATACTTTGCCATGTCCATGTAAAACTTGCTCATGGGCTATATAATCGAAAATAATAGCATTTATTTATTTAAACTCCACTTTATTCCAAAAAGGATTTGAAGTGCCTACATGAAAAGGAGACAATTGCCTACCTGTGATTTCAAATGTACAGTCGTTCCCTTCAATTTCATCTAATCTAGTCACCACCATTCCTGCTATTGGTATTTTTCCCTACCAGAAAAAAAAAGAACATTCCCATTAATTTGTGGTTATACCTATGTATTTCTCTTAGATTTTCTGATGCTCTCGGGAATCATTGTTAAATAATGGCTAGACATATTTCTCCAGTCTGTCAATAGATAATGTTTCCCTGTTCTAAATTTTAATCAGACAAGAAAACAGGGAGGAAATATGGGTTGTCTTTGCCTAACACATCCTAAACCATCAGATCAAGATTTACAAAACAGTTTATTTTTCTAATGTATTTTCACATGAATCAATAAACAAAGTAAAAGCTCAAATTTTATGAAAATTAGTGATGACCAGGCCAGGGTATGCCAGGCAGTAATAACTTATACTCTATATCTTAGGAACAGACCAAAGGAAAGTTAATTTTCTAAGGAGTTTAATGACATGTTTCTTCGAAACCCGAATCATGTGATATGATTGTAATAAGACAATCATAGAAGCAGGTGCCAGCTTTGCATTTTCTCAGCAATAATGATACGGTCCTATAAAATGCTGCTGCTTACTTAGCCATTCAGAGACTTAAATTTCTCTTTATATATTCAAAACCTAGCTCATAACCAGAGCAGTGAATATGCAGGACAAACTCATTGTTGTAACACAAAGGACTTTGATCTAAGGAATATCTGTTCTTATAAGCTGTTTAATTACAAGGAAGGGTCAAAACATTCACCTTTGCTGGCCTCAGCTTTTAGTGCCATAGTAGAGCTGTTATATCTGCATGGGGACCTACTTTTGAGTCCTGTTATTTGTTTCATATGAAATCGACTAACCTGATAGATAAAGCCACTCATCCGAGGGCTTGCAGATAACATTATCAAGACATTTGAAAACAGCAGAAGGTATCGTTCCTCTTTTTCCTGAAGTAGAATAAAAAATATCAAATGAAGAATAATTTTGTGAAGAATTTCTGGAATCACTGCTTTATAACACAGATCTTACCGAACCAACTGAGGTATTAATGGTGATTTTTTTTTAAGCTATACAACTTAGAGCACAAAACTAATTGAATTTGTAACATAAACCCACAATATTTTTCTCCTTCCTATACATAACAGTTAAACACAAACAGACAGGCTTGTTTGTGAAGTCTGTAAGCCTGAGAAGTCACACAGTTTATGTAGCCAGTGTGCTGTGCTAGCCCTGGGCACAAAATAAGTCTCTTAGTTCACAAAAAAATGTATAATTTTACTTGAAAAGTGGCAAAATGAAGCAGTTGTCAAGTGGTAGGAAATTTATTATGTTCTAATGTATATGTTAAATTTTTTCATAATGTTATTTTAATAATTAAGAATAAGATAATTATTATATTCATGCAAAACAAAGAAGTGAATACATTTAACATTTTCTGTGATAGGAGAATATTATTCAGTCATAAAGGATGAAATTATGTCATTTCCAATAAATGGATGGAACCTCAGACCATGTTAAGTGGAATAAGTCAGATATAAACAGTTAAATATTGGATGGTTTCTCCTATATGAGAAACCTAGAAAATAATTAAATAAAAGAGTAAAATAAGGGAGAGATTGTAGGAAACAAACAGGCACCTTTTTGGTGCTGGAGAAGGGTTCAGGAGGAGGGGGAAGCAGGAGGACACAGAGTGGGAATAAGGGAATCAAAAACGATCAAAACCACATGTGTACCAATTTCTCAATATGAATGTAATCATTATGTATTATAAGCACACACTCATTTAAAAATGTGTGTGGTTGTGTGTGAGTGTGTGTGTGTGGTGCTGGGGGTTAGATGAAGAGCCTTGAGCATACTAAGCACACATTCTTCCATTAATCTATACTCCCAGCCCAATTTCATGGCTTTTTTGATTGACACATAATAATGATACCTATCTATAGGGCACAAGGTCACATTTCTATTCATGTATATGTGTAATGATCCAATCAGCATAATGAGCATGACCACCGTCTATTTGTTTATGGTGAGCACATTCAAAATCTTCCAGCTCTTTTGAGATACACGTTGCATTAGCGCTAACTACATCTTACAGAAGGAACTTTAACACCTGGGGGCTGCTCTGGATCCCTTAAATAGACACGCAGTTAGTAGATGAAAAACTGCACTTGGCTTCCATGCTCAGATCTCATGCAGGCGGCTCCATCCTGGCTCCTTCCTCCCGTTTGAGAGGAATGGCTGTTTGGATAAGTGCTCTGCACTCTGAAATCTTGCTTTTGCCTAGTTTTCTTCTACAGACATCTCCCTTCCTCCTTCCTCCAGCAGCACCTCCTGTTTTACCAGCATTTCCTCTTTTGCCTTTAACCTATGTACATCTGCTGTCCCAAAAGGCCTTGCTTGCCCCATGTGGTTCCTTATAGATAATTTCACATTTCTTGACATTTTATTGCCAAATTACTAGCTGCCTTCATTTTCTCCCCATTGATCCTTCCCTAGCTGCAATCCTCACCTCTCTCCCAAAGTCATCAATAACTGCCTTCTAGCAACATGCAACGGGTTCTTCTTGGTCCTCACGCTCCTTGACCTATGAACCTTCTGCAGCACTCAGCTCGCTGACCACTTTCAAGTGCTCCTCCAGGAATTTCCAGGACACCACAATCCCTCAATTCTTTGCTACCATCCTATTTGTCTCTCTTTTTTTTCTGGCCCTGATTCCTCTCCTTTCACCCAAGGGGTTTATCCCAAAGATATGAATGACTAATCGTTAGACTCGCTGCATTAACAATCCCCAGGGTGTGTGCATTTCTAATGAGCTTGCTTCTTAACCCAAAGTAATGAATCTCTGCCAGAGGCATGTCAGGGACTATAGGAAGATGGTTTGGGAGAGGAAGACAATTCTAACACCCGATAAATCATACCAGGTGACATAATCAACCTTTATCCCCTACCCTGGCTCCTTCCTAAAATAAATAATCCATCTTCAGCCCCCTGCTTCTCCTTGGATATTTACTTCCTAGGAAGGCGCATCTTTCAGCAACATCTCAATCTCTGACCTTTCACCCACATTTCCATACCACTTTAACTGTGACCTATGAGACATTTCCACCTGGCTATCTACAGTCCCTTGAAAGTTAACAGCTCAAAAATGGCATGTGTCACCTCCTGGAGCCCACAGGCCACCCCTTCCTGTTGACTTTCCCATCTAAATGTGCCCCACAGATGCCCTCCATTACTCTGTCACCTCCATGCCTGGGGCACTTCTCACTTCCCATGCTAGCTGCCCTTTCTGGTTCTAGTCTCTCCCCACCTGACACATACAGTTGTCGGAATAGGTGTCATGATTCTCAACTGCTTATTGTTCTTTCACTGTTCCCCCATCATCTTCTGTGTCAGTCTGAACTCCTCTAGCCTGATGTCTAAGGTTCCTCCTAACCCAATTCAATCTTTTCTTTCACATGCCCAAAATGCTTCCTCTGATCCCAACAGTCAAGTTTCTTTACTGTGCTACAGAGAAAAAAACCACACCCTTGTTCTCCTGAGATGGAAATGACATCTTCTTCATGCTCCCCTTCACTTTCTGTGGCCCTCTTCCTCCTCAGTCCTATCACTGTAAAGTCCACTTGTTCTCTCCCTTCTCTGTGTCTCTACAGACACTACTACTGAGGCTGTGCAGCTGAACACTGAATTCCTGTTTTGGTTTCCACACGAGGCTTGTGTTTAATTTGTTTTTAATGAGCTCTTTGAGAGTGGGGGTTATGGCTTATTCTTTCTCCCTGTCTCCCACAGCATCTACCATAGTGTTGGACAAAGAAAAGGTGTTCGGTTTCTGACTTGAATGCTCAAGCACTTGACCTTGATGAATGGGCAAAAAGAGGAAGGAAAAAATATGAAAGATGGAAGAAACAATGTTAAGATTTGAAACGCCTTACCTCACATGTTCCATACTGCACCATTACTTGTGACATAAAGATCACATTTCCCAAGGTTTTAATATCCTCCCCTTCCCATGCCTGAATAGGTTCGGAAAGTATCTGCAACTCCAGCTGTTTTCTCTTTCTCAGATCTTGGCACTGACCCTACAAGACCCAAAGGAAACATAATGAAATAGGAGTGCTTATGAAACAGACCTGTGCAGGTTCTGAGACCTAAAACAAGATCAAAGTAAGGTATGTGTTTAACTCTCAGATTCCCACTGAGTTTCCCTATTGCTCACCCTGATTCCCATGACCAGACCCTATCCTGACAGACAAAAGGATCCACTACTCTCCATTTCTAGTCCACGTCCTTCAAGGCTGTGTAAGAAAGAGCTCTTTTTCATTTTACCAAAGCATCAAGATAAAATGATAGAAAGGGTTTGTTTCTCCCTGTCTGTAAGGAATCTTGGAAGACAGGCTGCCGACTCACATCACACAGAGCCAAGGGCAATTTGGAACACTCAGATGTGCCAGTCAGTGTCCTTCCCTCGCCTCCCTTCCCTTTGTCTATCCTCGGGTAAATAGGGGTTTACTTGCAAAGTAATTTCATTTTTCCAACATATGCTCATTTTCCAATAAGGTAAGTACCCTAACAATTACAAAACCCAAAAAGGGAGAAAAAAAAACTTCAAGAGTTATGAAAAAAGAAACTGGCAAAAAGAATATAACTTCTTCCTTTATGCCACAGTGAATCAAACTGAGCTTACAATGAAACATATGCGCTACCCTTTACTTTGTTTAGGGAGTAACAGTAGATTGCTATAAAAATACTAAATTAATTTTTTATTCCTAAAATGATTGGAAAAAAAGAGAAAACTGAATCTATGACACTAAACTGAAAATTCAAACCAAGGAACAATTTAGTTTGCCAATATTATGTGAGGTGGGAACACTATATATATTTTAAGTCTCTGCTTCAGAAAGTGTGAAGTTCTCTCAGAGTAATTTAACAGCATTCATTCCAAATTGAATACAAAAGTAAGCATATGGTTAGTCATGTTACTGTCTCCAAATGAATGTAATGTCATAGTATTTTGGAAGTGCTTTTTGTATAAAATCTCTGCTGCTTCATTCAGTTAAATGGAGGTCTGGAGAAATAAATTCATTATATAGATATTTTAAGCACAAATAAGTGGGAATAAATATACTTCAATCATCAAAGCAAGTTTTACAACATGATCAGAAATGTAGTTTTTAAGAGGCATTTTAAATTCCATTTACCTAGTAAAAATAAAAGAGACACAAATCATAATAAATGCCATGGGTTTTAGTGGACTGCTCTATTAGGTCGAGCCATCTAAATCTGCCAGTATTTGCCTGTTTGGGCTCACAACAGCAGTCATTTTAACCTAACCCTTACTCTTGTCTTCAACTTACTGTTTAACCATAGACACATCAGTTGCTGGTCTTTTAACAGCATAAAAATGAGGAGATGGTGAATGCTGCATCACAACCTTACAGTAAGGATCAATAACTAAGCACTGATCCAAGTCGCTGAGGAAGCAACAGAAATGTCAAAAAGGGAGCTAAACTTAATCCATCACCCCAAAATAAAGTTTTACTTCCTTCTAAAATGGCAGCAAGTGGTTTTACATCAGTGAGTTCAAGAAGACATAATAACCATGATACTCGAGATGTAAGATTACAGATAGCTTTGGCAGCAATCTATATAAAGCAATTGTATTTTGGTTATGTCTTTTTTTTTCCTTTTGTAAAGGATTTCTTTTTCATATGCAAAGAATAAACTCACGTCTTGACATACATAGTTGAATCCAGTATTGATGCCAATCAGTGAATGACGAGTTACACAGACACAGGGTAAGCAACGGGGGTAAAGATAAAGAGACAAAAGGAAACCCCCCACCTACACATCAATGCTTAATGTGGCCGAGACTTCAAGTGTGATTGCTTTATACCCTCAGCCTGGCAACCTTTCATAGTTAAGCATGATTTTTGGAGGACAAAATGAAATGAAGCAATCACAGCCATGCTGTCATGAAAGCTTATCGTTTCCATTCTAAAGACCTTTGCATAAGGAAAGATACATTACACACAAATCACTCTTTCGTGAACAAAGTACTACACAAAATAGTGATAGTTTTAGGACATCACCTACCATGAGAGTTTTGAATGCTATGATTGCTTTCAGAATATCTTGATGATCTGGATGAGTATCCTGTCAAAGGAATACATTTGAAAACAATATTAGAGGAGAATGGATTATCAGTTGCCAGGGGCTAGGGGTGGAGAAATGTGTGCCCACAAAAGGATAACAAGAGAGAATTTGGGGCATGATGGAATTGTTTTGTATCTCAATTGTGGTGGTGATAACATGAAACTATACCTGTGTTAAAACCCACAGAGCTGTGAACCGAAAGGAAATTTCTTAATCACCTAATAATTAGAGGTACTGAGATTCCAAATGTGGGTCTATTTTTTAATCCTTAAATTATCACACTATTGACTTTTAAGACAGTTGGTGATACATCATAGTAGCAACATTGTAGGTAGGGTTATTGAAAGAAGAGTTCTCGTTTCCATTTTTCTGTTGTACTTTGATAATAACTATTTAATAGTAAATATAGTGATTAACTATTTGGAGGGACATGATTAGGTCACGTAGTACACCTAATATGGGGTGTACATGTAGTACACCTATACAGGGTTATAGGGGCACCGTTTGGGGGGCATGTGCAACTATGCTGGAGAAAAGAGAAAACCAAATCTCCTGCTCAACCACTCTTGGGTGAGCAAATGTACAATTGAGCAGACTAGGAGTCTGTCCCAAGCCAAGATTAGTATTGCCCATGCAAAGTAAGTTAGCATTCCTTTACAGTCAAATTTATCCCTACCAAAATCAGCTGACAACTGAGAGTTTCAGCTTCTATTCCACTACTATCAGCCATCATGCCACACAACCAGAAATCTGGAGAAAGCATCTTAGCTAGTGGTGAACTAGCATGAAGGGGGTGGATTATCTGATGGTGGGAATGGAAAGTAACCAAGGACAGTGCAACCAATTGGAGGCAGGGCTGGAAACAAACTCCACTACAAGGAAGGCTGAGATATAGGACCGAGGTGTGCAGAGCATCTATTGCCTGGGGTTTTTTTCTTCCCCAGATTGAATGCACACTTGTACTTCAGCACTGAGAAGTAACAGAAACTGAGGCCACGAGTTTCTGGATTTTCGTGATAAGCAAGGAGGGGCAAACCTCAAACGGTTCAACAAATTGGTTTAGCTTATGGAAAGGCATCCACAGGTCAACATCTTCCAGGGCCCTAACTGAAATTTCATTCCGGCAGGCTTTGCTCACCCGCTCCCCACTGCCTCCAGCTCTGGGGCAGGTCAAATACCCTGAGAATGTGGTTTTGCTCAGAGTGCATGCTTTTCTACCCTTACAAACGCTGACAAGCCTGGCAGCGTGCACCCTTTTTCTTTAAAGATAATCAACCCTTTTAAACCTCAAAACCTTTCCCCAGACACAGGAAGAGCAACTAGGGTAAACGCAGCCTCCCCCAGTGGGCCCTCCTCTCGCACCCACATCTCCATACCCCACGCACAATAGCAAAAGGATGGCTCAGGGAGCCATCCCTGCTGACTGGCTTTTAATCATAAGAGGATTTAGGTTCTTGGTGAAAAAATTCAATTATCAGGCCTCATTGCAAATCTTAATATTTAAAAAAAGACTATACTGCCAACTACAACTGTTGCAAGTAAGCTGTAAATTCATAAAACAAAAATGTGAGGGGACATTGATATGTAGAGAGATACACTGACATTGGATCTATTTATTAATCTTAAGGGATACCAGAATCTTTCATTGTAATCCAGCATCAGAAAGCCGAACAATCAGTGTTCAAGAGATAAATATTTGTGTGTACAGTGAATACGTTCTTCATATTTTCTAATGTCAATTTGCTTTACCTCTCACAATAAAATTGGTTAACATAGCAGAACAACAGAGATTTCTAAAGGTCTAACTTTGACTAAACCACCATCTCATTTCATCTAGATGAAAGTGCAAACGAAAACCTAAGTCAACAAGTAAACATAGACTTGAGGGAAGCAACACAACTGAGGCTTGGAACAGAAGAGCAGAAATGATCATGAATATTTGATAGGAAAGAAGGGAGATCCTGTTTTGTTGCATAAAGAGAGAAACTAAAAGCTTGGAAAGAGGGATGATCAGAAGCCAGGACATTTTCTGGATCCTTAGCAAGGCTTGCTTGGAGGCAGATTGGCTTCTCCCCCAAGAGCAGAGACCCAGACTTGGTACGAGAGGTTGAAAAACTTGCCTTCCCTTACCTCCATATGCCGTTCCAGTTCTTGCAAGAGAGTAACATACTTTTCCAGTCGCATGAATGGTTTGCTGAGACTGGTGGTTAAAATGAGGATACCTGGGCTGGATGCACCTTGATTTTCCATAAACTGTTCCAGATCATCACTAGCAAAAGAGTGAATGGTTTTGTTAGTGCTGAATATCCCATGTAAAAAATTATCAACCTAACCTTATTTTATGGTACCATTTACAATACAAAACCAAGTAAAAATCTGGTTCACTGGTCCAAATGGTGTTTAATTTATCCCAACTCTATTCAACCAGCCTTTACTCAGCACTCCTTGGGCATCAGCCCTGCACCCAGTATCCATGATCCCTGTGGTCATTTACTCATTTGACACTTACTGATTAAGCATCTAGTAAGTGGCAGGCTCTGTCCTCTGATGGAGATATAGCAGTGAACAAAAGAAAAATTCTCCCCTTAAGGATCCTGCACTCAGGAGGAGGATGTGTACAGTCTACCAGATGACATAACCTAGGGTTTAAAAATCTATTTTCTTAATGTCATCAATATTCTACTTATTTTCTGGTCATATGGTAAGGTTTGGACCTCACCAAGCTCTCACTTATAATTATCTACATTAAAGCTGTTCCTTCAGGTAACAGCATGTTCTCATGCTTAAACACAAAGTCATTTGGCCTAAGATCTAAATTCAGTGCCGCAGGCTACCTGAATAGTTCCAGAGGGCAACAACTTAGGAAAAGTTCTAAGAGTTGGTGAACCATGTTCTATAATGTCTAATTCTCAGTTGCTGTTTTCTCTGCCCTTTAGCGCTCTTGCAAATTGTCTTTTCTCCACCAACAGGAGTGTTGAGTCCTCAAGGTCATTTTAACATACATTTAAGCAAAATATAATTCGAGAAAAAATCCTAATACCTAACTGACAACATATTTTGAAACTTTTGTTTACTTCCTTGACTCCTTGACCTTCTTGGTTGCTCAAATATATCCAACGAGTCCCAAGTCTCCCTGGATTTGTTTATTCCTCTCGACTCTTCTGCTGCTACCCAAGTCCAAGTCTTCAATGCATCCCATCCTGCTCACTTCAATAGGTCAACTGGTCTACTGGCTTCCAGACTCTCTTGCCTGCTAACTGGCCTGCAGACCACCACTTTATTTCAATCGCTTTCTTACTAAAACTTTTGAATGCTTCCAAAGTCAAGTCTTAACTCTTTAGACTCCTACTGACCTCCTCACCCTTTCTCTCCACTCCCCAGCAGGAAAACCCTACTGAAAAGTGACCTCCTTATTCTTTCAAGAGCATATCTTGTACAGTGGTTCCCAACTGTGGTGTGTTGCCACGGGTTGTGAAGTGTGTTCAAAGAAACTCGCTATTGGTAATCAAGTACTGGGGGTGGGGAATAGAGTGCAATGCAGGTGATCTCCTTAGTAATAAACACACACTGTCCTTGGGCTTCTGTGAGCAGCAAGAGAAAAGGATGGAGTTTCAACTAACACCCCAGCAGCCTTAAGTGGTGCCACCACACACCTATGTCACCGGAAGAAAGGGCTGGGAATGGCTGTCTTACTGGAACCATCCCTGCCAACCATCAGTTTTCACAGTTCTGTTGCAGAAGCAGCTAAGGGGAAGGAAGTGCCTTGGACATGGAGTCATAAAACAGATTTGGTGACCCTGGATGAGTTGCCTTAAATGACGCATCTGTAAAAGAGATAAAACCTACTTCCTAATAAAACTGTGCAGATTAAATTAGCAAGATTGGTAAGGTTATTATTTTGTGCTAGGATCCATTTTACAGATGAGAAATGTGAGGCTCAGGAAGGGCAAGTAAAGTAGGAAGTGGCTCAAGTAGGGTTCATACCAGGTTTGAAGTCAAAGCCTCAGGATTTTCAATACCACCACCCTGGTTCTCTAAGGAAAGGAATTTGTAAACTTTAAAGCAGTCAGTAGATACATCATCATCATTATTGTTATTCTGAGACAAGACAGATACCTTGCTAGAATCTCGTCTTTTAAAAATTATTAGTATGCATGATTTCCAACTTAATGGAAATTTAATTGATGTTTAATTTCCAATCCTGAGCATAAAATCCATAAATTGCTTGAAAAATTCATCACGTATAAAATATAATTAGGAAAATAACTTGGATTTCATGTTTGCATAGAAAGGTTACTGAGAGAAAGGTCATTTTCCTAATTTCTTTTCAATTTGGTAAACAAATCTTACGTTTTATTTCCGTGACTAAATGCCAACTGCATTTTCAACATGCTATTCTAATTAATGCCTGAGTTACAGCAATTAAGAGTAAAAGCTAGGGTACTTTGTTATTGCCTTTCATGGAGCACTCTAACTTCAAGGCTTGCCAAATACAGTATTAAACATTTCAAACTTTTTTCCTAAAGCCATGTTCTACTGAGCTAAACAAGTTTAACAAACAACTAATATCATTATACACAAGTGTAGTGCCAAATCGTATACCAATCTGTCTTAAAAATTCATTTTTAATTTTAAACAGCCTGTTTGAAACAGCATGGGTTAAGACTTTTCCAGCTTAATGTGCTCTGTATATGAGATGTGATACAACAGAAGTGGGCCTCAATGTACAAGCACTGTTTAAAACTCAATGTCCATCTATTTATCTTGCAGAATACATGGTAGACGAGGTGCTCGTATGTTCTGAGTTGGGCTGGAAATCTAGAGAAAACCATTCTACCTCACAGTAACACTACGGACATTAACCATCTCATACAATGGTTTGTGTCAAATCTTTTGATAGATTTCTAATTTGAATAATGAAGAATCTACCAGAGAGTCAAAGATTCCTCCTCCCCACCTTACACATTCCTCACCCAAGACCTCCTTGAGAATTGCTGTGCCCTGAGAAGAAGAGATGACACAAAAGGAGGTGGGAGACCCCAGCCTCTCACCAGAGGAAAAAGCTCAGGGCATCTCTTAGACTGAATTGGTGACTTGCTGGGCCCCTATTTTCCCTTTTTATTTAGCCAATTCCCAAGTTTAATCTGTCAGCACTTTTGTCCCCACCACTTTTTAATTTATGATTGATTGTACTTTCTTTGCTGATTCCTCAAAGACAGGGGGAAAAGTCCAGAATCAAGGCTCAGAATTTTTCTTATGCCTCCAGTCCCTGAAGCAAATACACAGCTCTTTGGGCTTTTCTTAAAGTTGCTATTGGCTGCAACAGGGGTAAACAGAGGGTGAAAAAAGTTTAAAAGAAGAAAAGTCCACAGAGTGTACTTTTTGTGGCAGTTACTACAAGAGACTGAAATGTACTCCAGATCTGTGCTAGTGCCAACTCGTTCCTCTTCTTCCAGCTCTCAATTTTAACCCTCTCCTTTGTGCAAAGGAAAGACAATATACATCAAAGCACGGGGAAGAAGTGGGTATTTTTGTAAGTTAGAAGTTATTCCCAGGAAGAGACAGAAGCTACCTTAGCAAGTCAGCAGGGGACAGAGAGGGGAAATCCCAAAAGATCTCACCCAGGGGATAACAAAAAATAAAAGGCTAGGGCAGCTATTCGAATATATGTAAAGGTGGGGACACACCAAGGCTGGTTTCTGATTACATACCCAAGTACAGGCAATACGTTACTACAGTTTTTTTTTTTTTTAATTCACACATTTTAAGGCTGGGAGCTTTCTCATGGCCAGTTGTTGCAAGCATTTCTTGTTCGATATTGCCACCTACAGACCAAAAGGAAGATGCTCACCTGAACATTACAGAGTTAGCAGAACAGAAATCCACTAGGGTCTCCATTTCAGCCAGAACCTCCATGAAAAACAAGACTTTAAAGTGAATTTTCTGTGAATTTCATTCAACTATTATTTGCCTTTAATATGTAAGCATAAATTACCAAGAGATGCATGCAAATCAGCAGAGATTATACTAGAAGCACACATGAGAAAAACTCCGAGTCTTATTTAATTTTTATTCTTTACATGTAAATAATTCAGAAGATAGAAATTGAGTACTATAGTATGAAGACTGATGTGAGTTTATCATAATTTCAAGGAATATAATAAAAGTATCTAGAAGCAATATTTATCAAAATCAAAAAATAGTTGAGAATCTTCAACTCAGTTGTGTAACAAACTTTAAATCATAAAAGTTGAATGCCTCTCGGCTATTATGCATAAAATCAAATTCCTAACATAGGTATATATAGTTAGTAATATTTTAGCACATAGAGTTAAAACAGAAACTTCCATAAACAACCCAGAATGTCTACCATCTGAGGTGCTATCTCTTTCCAGTATTCGCCCAGATTTATTCTCATATCAGAAGGAAAAGAATGTATGCTCATATAAATGTCTAATATGAAAGGAATCTCATTTTACTAGCATGAAGGGATATGCCCTTATACAAACAGAAATTTATACAGTCATCAAAGGAAATGCCTCTGAATGATTTTTTCTGTATTGTAAATTTGTGGTAAAGAATTAAGACATTCCTGACAATGATTTTATAAAGCACACAAGTTTAGGACTCTGGTTCCCTCTTTATAAGCTTTTGTTTCCCTTGCTGGAGATGGAGCCCAGAGCCTTTTCAGGCAAGTGTTCTACCACTGAGCTGCATCCCCAGGCCTGATTCCCTCTTGAAAGAGAAAGAGGAACAAGGGATATTGTACAGTATACACACACTTGAATTGCGTCTATGCTTTGTTTCTAAAGCTGAATGGAAGTGAAATTATATACATTATACTTTCTGGTTTTTGTATGCTTGAATTATTTCATAGTTTCTCCCTAAAAAGTAACTGGTGCCTGGCAGGTACAAGATGAATAAAGTTGATATGGGGCACAATGCCAGCTATCTGGGTACTTTGTATTTATTACTTCAATTAGTACTCACTTTATCAACCCTGCAAGGTAGGTGACTTTATCTTCATTTTGCAATTAAGAAAACTAAAGCTTAGAAGTTCGAATTACCTTGAGTAACACACCTTCTAAGTGGCAGGATTTAAAACTGAGATGTGAAAGTAGTACAACTTTAGGCTCAGATCACATAAGGGAACATAAGGGCTTAAAAAGAAATGTTGATGAGCTCCATCTTGGGGATTGTGGCATGAGCTGCTCACGGGACCCCCTCCACAGCAGAGTGTGACTGATGGAAACAATAAAAGCAACACTG